CATATACAATGATTAAATTCGTTGGTGAATCGTCTAGAACTGAAATTGAAAATACTCTTAAGTCTTGTCCTCAGCCGATAAAATGGACTTTGGTAAGGAGAATCAAATTTATGAAATATCCAACGGATCAAAATGGAAAATTAATTAATGAAAACTAATGTATTGCAGATTTATGAAGCATTACCATCCTACCATTAAGAAAAGAGATTCAAAACCTCATATTGAAAATGCTCTTTTAAAGATGACGCATCGATGCAGAAATATCAAGCCCAAGGTAGTGGATGGATGCATGACCATACTAAATATAACTTAGACAGTTGCATAGTTACAAGTATAAGCCCCTAACACCAAAGTCATACATTCCCACACCAGAAAGTATTAAATCGAAACATTCAGTTTTAAATATTAAAAAATCGGACAATAAATGCTTTCCTTTGGTTGATTTTAGCAGTTTTATATCCAAGGAACTCTAATGAACATGCTAACAGAGTCTCTAACTATGTACCCTATTAAAATCAGTTGAATATGACAAACATAAGTATCCTGTGAAAATATCTGATATAGATAAATTTGAAAGACAAAATAATTTAAGTGTTAATATATTTGGGATCGAAGATGAGAAATGCATATATCCATTTAGAATAACCAAACTAAACAGTAATACTAACTTAGATCCATTGTTATTACAACAATGTCGTAAACCACATTACTGTTTAATTCGTGATTTTGATAGGTTAATGCTACGGTCTACAAAATATGACCATAAGAAGCATTATTTGTAAGTTGTTTTTACAACATTTTTTCATAATCATAAATTAGAACGTCATATAACTTATTGTAAAATATGTGATGCCCAAGGAGTGGAAATGTCTAAACAAAATACATTACAATTTAAAATTATAAACATCAACTTAAAGCCCCATTTGTAATTTATGCAGACTTTGAATCATTTATAAACTTTAACAACCATACTCCATCTGGATTTAAATTTGTTGTAGTGAGATATTCTTTTCTGATGAGTTATACAGTGGCGAAAATGTTATGGACGTTTTTAAGAAAGATTATTTGAGACTTTCCATCCAGTAGAAGCATTTTACAGTACTCTGACTAAAGAACATATTTCTCCCAATAAATAATGTACGGTACCATATTGTTTTATTCGTCTGTATAGTTTTCCAATATTTTATTATATTAGTAGACCCCCTCTTAACCGACCTCGTATTAACCGACAATCGGATTATCCGCCTTCGATCGTAAAATAATACAGTTTGTTTTAACCGACCTTGCTTTGAGGGCAAACACGTGCGAGTGAGCTTAACCAGGGTGAAGCCTGCCTATGTGTTACCTGACAAATGTAATCATCCAACAATCAAAGAGCCACAAAATATACAATCTTCGAGCACATCCCTCAAACCTCCAAACTATACAACTCGATCTGGTTGAAATGTAAAGCTCAAGCTTCCTGGACTTCCAGTCTCTGCGGGGGGGCTGATGTGGCATCAACTTAGCCACCACTGTGATGCCTTTGGTCTTCACTTTATTTTAATATTTATTATGATACAGCTGTTGCTAGATTGTTAAAAATGTTTAGTTTTGACCATGTCATGATTCAACACTTTTCTTCATTCGTTTGTAAATAACACTTATCAAAGAATTCGTTCATATAGTGGTGATATTATTTCATTCTGATTAAACATCGCTATAGTTTAATTTGGTTTTAAGCTGGATCAGACTTACACTCAAACAAACAAACATGCATACATGTTGTTACCTAAGTTTTAAAATAACTGCTAAATTAAAGAATAATGATTAAATGAACATTGGTTTTACCATGGCCTTTGATTTCCGCCTCCTTCTCCGAAAATGATAAAATATCAGCTAAGCTTTGACTAATCTGCAACAGAATAATCCCATTTCAGATTGAACAAAATCTTTTTATCCTGATTAATTGTGTAAATGATAAACATAAACATATTGATCACAAAAATTTTGAACCAGCAAGATGGGGTCATGGCAATCTCGTGTTATGGGGTTTGAAATTAATTGACTGTGTAAAGTTGTAGTGTACTTCTGTTTGAAGTTGTAGATCACATTATATAAAAAGTATCCAGCAAATATTATGAAAAATTAGAGTTTTCATAATCTTTTAAAACATAACGATGCCAAATTTTCTTTGAAACCAGTGGGGCCCAAACAAAGTGTACAAGGAACCGTTGTTGTGTAAATAAATATAACGGAGAAAATAAAAAAATCCATGCTATTTTCATGAAGAAAAAGTAAAATGTTGTAGTTTACTTGTTTATGGACATATCTTGATTCAATTTGGCAAATTTATTTATTCAATACCAACCTACATTTCACTGAAAACACCCGTTTACCTGCTATTTAGAAGCAAACCTAATAGTCCAGTCAAGGAATGAGGTGTAGAGTAGCAGGTAACTAAGCGATTCCTTCAGAAACTTGTTCAGGGGGCTTAGGGTGTTAACATACCAAAAGTCCTAACTCCTAGGTATTGAGCCAGGGGGTGGAGGGGTGAAAGGGGGGCAAAGGTACGCATTTTGGGTTATTCGATTATATATCGAAAACTATCATCTTTGTGTATACTATACTAAATTATGAAGTTGAAGAAGATGAAATTTTCTTCAAGAAAAGTATATAAAATGTTTATTTCGGTTAAACCATTTACGAGTTATTTCTAATTTAATTAATATCTTAATAAAATACTCTTTCCATAAGAAATGCATGTAAATTAGTATGCAAAATGGGGCAAACCCTATCCACCCAAAGGAAATATAACCGATATTCTGTAAATCTTGGTAAAATATCCAGCAATTTGACACTTTAATCATAAAATTTGGTCAAAAATTAAAGCGAGGGTGAGCACTTAAAAACGGGATGATTTTAGTTTTTTTCTTTATGATTCTTAAAAAAAAAACCCAAAACACGACATTTTTGTTACCTTGCTCATGCTCTAATTTTGGATCAATTTTTATTATTAAAGTGTCAAATTACTGGAAATTTTGTCAATTTTTTAAGAATATCGGTTATATTTCTTTTGGGTGGATAGGATTTGCCCCATTTTGCATACTTATTTACATGTATTTCTTATGGAAGGAGTATTTTAATAAGATATTAATTAAATTAGTAATAACTTGTAAAGGGTTAAACCAAAGTAAATACATTATGTACTTTTCTTGTAGGAAATTTAATCTTCTTAAATTTCATAATTTAATATTATATACAAAAAAATGATTGTTTTCGAGATATAATCGAAAAACCCAAAATGCGTACCTTCCCCCCCCCTTTCCCCCCTCCTCCCCCTGGCACAACACCTAGGAGTCAGGACTTTTGGTATGTTAACAACACCCTAAGCCTCCTGAACAAGTTTCTGAAGGAATTGCTTAGTTACCTGCTCAATTCTCTACACCCACTTTTGGATCATTCATTGACTGGACTATTAGTAACCTTTAGATCTGCTGTCGTTTGAAAGGAGAATAAATATGACCAGGTGAAGGAAAAATAATCCAACCAGACAAATTGGAATTCGCTTAGTCTGCAGGTTTGCTGTGGCAGGGCTGTTTGTTACATGGTGCAGTGTCAGTGTTTAACTCAGTGTAACAAAATATTTTTCTGTTATACTTATCATAAATCCTGTATAGGCTGGTATGGATTCTCTTATGCAAAAAGCTGTGTGAACATTATTAATGCTAACATCATTGAACAGATGACTTTTTTAATAGGCCTACTTTAGATTTTTGACTAGCATTTGAGGACAGCACTGTACATTTAAATTAAAATTCAACAAGATGGGTGTTCTAAATATTTAAATAATTGTAAAATTACAAATAATCTCTGTCACATAACGTTTTTGGCTATCCTGTTTAATCGATGTTTAAAACTGAAGAATCATTTGATACCTTAGGCCTTATTGTACATAGCATTTGGATGAATATAAATAAAAATACCCCTGCCGCAGCAAACCTGCCGACTAAGCGAATTTCCATTTGTCTGAATTGAATTTTCAGTTAAATATATTTTAATAACATTAGGTTTAACGAGTACCTAGGTTTGCTGCTACAAGGAAACTAATAAAGTGTGTTTTTGAGTAAAATATTGATAGCTTAGTACAAAATAAATAAATTTGCCAAGTTTGATCAAAATATATTCATAAACAAGCAAACTACAACATTTGACAATATTCTCCATAAGAATAACATGGAAATTTTAAATTTACAACTTTTTTAATTTTCTCCGTTACTGATAATCGAACAAAAATACTTTTAAATACTAAATTATTTGTTTTTTTAAGCTCTTTAAAAAGGTCTAAAGAGAAATTGGGAAATTTTGTGTTTTGAGGGTCAAAAGTGAGAAAAACCAATTTTTACCCCATAAAACCCCCCGTAAAGCCCCGTTCCCATGGTCCGATCGTGCTGGTTCGCGAACTCATTCAAGTTTATCCCGCTTTACACCTTTAAACCAAATTTCATCAAAATCGGACAAAAATTACTCAAGTTATCGCGTTTACGGACGTATATATATATAAAAATTTGAACGAATAGTGTTTTTGGCCTCTGGGGACATCAAAATGAAAAAGTAAATCGGTCCCGGGTCTAGGTCTTACCGTGCCACCTACGGTAATAGCTACTTCCCTATAGGGAAATTCGCTAAAAGAGTTTAAGTACTAACGTGTTATACCGACCACACCTAATCTAACCTGATCGTAAGTGTAGTCAGGTTAGGTTAAAACAATGTATTGATTCGATAGACAATACAATTCAATTAGTATGTGTTATTTAAACGAATTAAAATCTTATTTGGAAGCTAATTTTTCGGTGCGGTTGGTGTATTATATAAGTACCGGAGTGTGCTTTAAGACTTAACACTACCGTTTGACTTTTTTCTAGATTTCACTTCTAAAGGTTCAGCGTTACTTAAAAAATTTGTTTCCCTCTTATAAACAGAAAATACAGCCGTTTTAAAACACTCGGTGCGGGACTGAATCAGTTCACGTGAATGACGTGACTGGTGACATGGCTGGCAACTTGGCTAGAAGCGTGACTGGTGACGTGGCTGGTGTCGTGGCTAGCGATGTGACTGGTGACGTGGCTGGTGACGTGGCTGGTGACGTGACTGGTGACGTGACTGGCGACTTGGCTAGGGATGTGACTGGTGACGTGGCTAATGTCGTGGCTAGCGATTTGACTGGTGACGTGGCTAATGTCGTTGGCTAGCGATGTGACTGGTGACGTGGCTAATGTTGTGGCTAGGGATGTGATTGGTGACGTGGCTAATGTCTTGGCTAGCGATGTGACTGGTGACGTGGCTAATGTCGTAGCTAGCGATGTGACTGGTGACGTGGCTAGTGATGTGACTGGTGACGTGGCTGGCGACTTGGCTAGGGATGTGACTGGTGACGTGACTGGTGACGTGGCTAATGTCTTGGCTAGCGATGTGACTGGTGACGTGGCTAATGTCGTAGCTAGCGATGTGACTGGTGACGTGGCTAGCGATGTGACTGGTGACGTGGCTGGCGACTTGGCTAGGGATGTGACTGGTGACGTGGCTAATGTCTTGGCTAGCGATGTGACTGGTGACGTGGCTAATGTCGTAGCTAGCGATGTGACTGGTGACGTGGCTAGCGATGTGACTGGTGACGTGGCTGGCGACTTGGCTAGGGATGTGACTGGTGACGTGGCTGGTGACGTGACTGGTGACATGGCTGGCAACTTGGCTAGAAGCGTGACTGGTGACGTGGCTAATGTCGTGGCTAGTGATATGATTGGTGACGTGGCTAAAGTCGTGGCTAGCGATGTGACTGGTGACGTGGCTTATGTCGTGGCTAGCGATGTGACTGGTGACGTGGCTGGTGACGTGACTGGTGACGTGGCTGGCAACTGGCAACTTGCCTAGGAATGTGACTGATGACGTGGCTAATGTCGTGGCTAGTGATATGATTGGTGACGTGGCTAAAGTCGTGGCTAGCGATGTGACTGGTGACGTGGCTAATGTCGTGGCTAGCGATGTGACTGGTGACGTGGCTAGCGATGTGACTGGTGACGTGGCTAGTGATATGATTGGTGACGTGGCTAAAGTCATGGCTAGCGATGTGACTGGTGACGTGGCTAATGTCGTGGATAGCGATGTGACTGGTGACGTGGCTAGCAATGTGACTGGTGACGTGGCTGGTGACTTGGCTAGGGGCGTGACTGGTGACGTGACTTATGTCGTGGCTAGCAATGTGACTGGTGACGTGGCTAATGTCGTGGCTAGCGATGTGACTGGTGACGTGGCTAATGTTGTGGCTAGCGATGTGACTGGTGACTTAGGGGCGTGGCTGGCGACCCATATAGAGTAATATAGAGGCAAAAAACTTTTTGAAAATTCATTTTTAAACAGCGTCATGATAAACCTTACAAAAAGCAAATATTATAAACTCTGCAATCAGACACTAACTATCGCCACTATTATAATGGCATTGCCAATTGAAGGGCTTAAAAGTTATTTAAAAAAACAACATTTATCATACGTTATTATTTATTCCAAAGTGACATATTAACTGTGATTAAAGAATGGGATCAATACAAAACTATATAATTTTCTCATAAAATGTTTTTTGAAAGAAGAAGGAAAAGTATATATCGGTTAATGATTTAGACCTTAACTCATGATATTAGATTATGAATCTCGATACAGACATGTAATTCGTGATATTTAATAAACAATAAAAACAACACATAAAACACATAATTTGTATTTAATCAAATGCTTAGAAATTGGGAAATGGGTAATTAAAGCAAATTAGTTCATACGGATGAAATCTTACCAGAAATGATCCAAAAACCACAGTAAATATTAGTTTCATTTTAAAGGTAGAGCGAGACGCGCACATACATTTGGATCTCTGGATGTACAGTACGTAGTTTAGTTGTAAAATTAGTTAGTGACAAATTACTAGGCACCGTTTATCTAACATATGTACGGCTATGTAACATATGTATGGCGCGAATTAATAATCATAAATATTACACATGTTTTAAACTTTGATCATAACCCTCTTACGTGCAAATATAAGAAAATGCATATTCTTAATCTTAACAAATGAAATAATACACACAAACATGGGTGGAAACGAAATTCCAGACTGTGTGAAGATTTGAAACTGGAAAATTAATTAACATTTTTTGCAATAATAAAGTGTATTAATTTTTATTTTAATACTAGCTGTACCCGCGGGCTTTGCCCCGCTTATCTTCATAAGTATTCCCATGGCTCAATCACGTCTTTGTTGAAGTTCGTTCGCTACGCTCACTCACCTTCAGGTTGGAAATCGTTGGCTGCGCTCACTTGTTTTCAGGTTAGCTCGTTCGTTACGCTTACTCGTCTCCAGGTTGATGTTCGTTCGCTACGCTCACTCACCTTTTGGTTGCATATTTGCTGTTGTCATAAATTTAAAAAAGTCATCCCTTTTATTGTTTATAATACTTTGATAAAGGTTTTTATGTTTCTAATATTTAACATTTGAGCATTTAAACGTTGTTGAGTGCATAAGTGTGCTGCGATTGGGGTTTAATACATTTTGACTTATTCAAAAGTAAAATAGTTTTCTGTGCTGCACTCTGTAGAAACACTGTGGCACTATTTCAAATCATGACTAATGCTAATACAGAAATGTTGTGATTATTCAAACCTACAAAACAGTTGATGAAAGTAAACATCTGCTTTTAAATTAAATTTATTTGTAAACATTGTAGATATAAAAGTCTAACATTGGCCCACTTAAAACCCTCTGGGGCAGAGCCCTTTTGACGGATCTGCACCAAACTTCACTCGAACCATCCTTGAAAGATGCTTAATAATGCCTGAAAGTTTCATTACAATCTGTCGAGCGGTTTTGGAGTCCATAACGTATATACACACTCACATACATACATACATACATAGTTCCTCTTTTATAGATATAGATAACCAAATAGCTTAAATTATTAACTAACTAGGAAGTACAGAAAAGATATTGAGTGGTTGTTTGGTAACCTTGTAACGGTTGTAAATATCAACCGGTCAATATCTACAACAAACAGAACAACAAGTTCTGCAAGAAACATTTCGGGCAAGGCCCCACTAGAAAAAAACAGGGCATGCTGCAGCACGGGCAGCGCAACACTACGTCACAGTAGTGGATAGTTGTACTAAATTCTCACCATTAAAAATCTTACAAACAGCCAGCTTATTTATTTACCTAAAACATATGGGAATGGCAATGGCAATGAATTTATCAATGAAATCTATCCACTAGTGTGATGTCATGGATCCTGTAGCATGGCCTGAATGGGACGAAGCATATTGTCATAGACTAACCAACACAAGTAGACTTCTCATCCCATTGTAAATTTTGAAGCACTTTTTCGTGTCTAGTTCATGTACGTGACACAAAGGCGCTAGTGTCGACGAAACTTTGTTTCTATTATTTTAGGGTTAATTTCTTGATTTGTGCTTTACTGTTTGGTTATATAACTAGGGGACAAGTTATTGTTTATGTTTAGATCGTATTATTTGGTTAAACGAGGTTTTAAATGGCTGTAATAACGGGAAACAATTTGTAAACAAAACACGACCTCTACATAAACCGTACAGAACTAACAATAAAATTTTCTTCAGCTGTTCCATAAGGATGAGAAATCTACTAAGGGAGTATGTTTTATCTATATTGTTAATCACAAGGACAAATAAATGGTATCAGCAATTTGACACATACTTTCTCCAATTAGCTTGTCAACATCAACCTTTGTAGTAAAAAAACATGTGACTTCAATTCTTTATTATTGTTTTGTTGTGTTTGTAAACAAATCCATTATAATTCAATGTAGTATTGTTCAAGTTATTAAAAACCTTTCTAAAGGTGATAAAAGTTCTTTTTCATTCATTCTTACTCTCATTACAATTTTAATAACTTGATATTGTGAAATGAATACGATCCTAAAGCCAGACAAGTTTAGTGTAAATCCAAACTCATCATCTGCAAGTAAGGAATGGACACATTGGCACAAAACGTTTCAGAATTCTGTTACCAGCATCACACCACAACCATCCGACTCCGAAAAACTCAAAATACTTATAAACTTTATTACTCCGGAAATCGACGAGTACATAAGTGAAAGCGGTACGTATAACGATGCTATATCTTTGCTAAGAAGTATCTATGTAAAACCTGTAAATGAAATATATTCCAGACATAAACTATCTGCACGTCAGCAGCAACCTGATGAGACTATTGACTAATATCTCCAGGCTTTAAAATTACTAAGTAAAGACTGACAGTTTAAAGCTGTGACAGCTGAAAAGAATAGGGATGATTATATCCGTGACACATTTATTGCAGGAATAAAATCTTCTGCAATTCACCAGCGCTTACTAGAAAATGTTTCGTTGACACTAGATCAGGCATATAGTCAAGCCAGATCCCTAGAACTTGCACATGAGCAATCATTAGCTTTTCAATCTTTCCAATCTATAGTAAATGCAACTTCGTCCCAAGATACTCAAGCGAGCAATCAGAATGTAGATGCAACTTCAAGCAGTTTAGAAAAGTGTTCTCTAGCTACTGTGACTGAAAAATGTTTCTTTTGCGGTAATCTAAGACATCCTAGGGTCAAATGTCCAGCTAAAAATACAATTTGTCATAACTGTGGTAAACAGGGGCATTTTGCTAAGGTCTGCAGGGGCAGGTAAACTACAAACCAAGCAATTGGATAAATCTAAAGAAGTAATGAACTCTATTGACCTAGCAGCTTCGCCTGGTGGGTTAACAAAGAGTACAGTACAAGCCATAGTTAATGGTAAAACTGTCTCCCATTATTTTTCATTCATTCTTACTCTACAACCTTTATCGTGGGTAAGCGATAAGAGTAACTATCTATATCTATAAAAGAGGAACTATGTATGTATGTATGTGTGTATATACGTTATGGACTCCGAAACCGCTCGACAGATTGTAATGAAACTTTCAGGCATTATTAAGCATCTTTCAAGGATGGTTCGAGTGAAGTTTGGTGCAGATCCAAAAGTATTTAAATAGTCAAATAATAGTTGAACCTAAATAATTTCCCAAATATTTACTAACCTTTAACTTGTATGGATAAAAACAGTGCCAGCTATCACAAATCAAACAATTATATACGAACAACTAAATTAAATTATTATGTACTAACTAGCTGTAACCCGCAGGCTTTGCCCCGTTTAACTTCTTAATTTTCAAGATTATCTCGTTCGCATGGTTCAATCACGTCCTGGTTGAAGTTTGTTCGCTACGCTCACTCACCTTTGGGTTGGAGCTCGTTCGCTGCGCTCACTTGCCTTCAGGTTAGCTCGTTCACTACGCTAACTTGCCTCCAGGTTGAAGTTTGTTCGCTACGCTCACTCACCTTTTGGTTGCAAATTAGCTGTTGTCATAAATGTAAAAGAAATAATAGTGCTGCACCCTGTTGGTAATCCTTGTAACTTTAATGCTATTGAACATCACAGAACAGAACCAACTTGTTTAATTGAAACAGCTGTTAAGATTCAAATAATTCCATTTCTCATAAGGTTAACATGGGAAACTCCAGAGCCACTGGGGCGGAGCTCGAAAGGATTTTTGAAATAAGAATATGCCTATATGTTAATCGGGAATGTGAGCTATCATCATGCCAAATTTCAACCCAATCTGACCAGTATTTTTCGC